TTTGGGATTGATCCAGCTGCTGTATCAATAGCTTGCCCCTTTTATTGCTGCATAGTATTCCATGCTACAATATAGCACAATCTGACCAATGTCAGTGAAGGACATTTGGGGTGTTTCCAATATAAGTAACAACAACCCAGTTACTTTTTAGCAATTCTGTAATGAGAAAGCTGCTTTTCCTAGAAGATTTTTTTTGAAACTAAAGGCCTAAAACTCATTTTTAAGCTGTTGCTTTTTACATACATGTTCAAAGATTTTTAATTTCACAACATTAAAAAATTGTAACCAGCTGGGCGTGGTGGCGCATGCCTTTAATCCCAGCACTCAGGAGGCAGAGGCAGGCAGATCTCTGTGAGTTCAAGGCCAGCCTGGTCTACATAGTGAGTTCCAGGCCAGCTGGGACTACAGGGAGACCCTGTCTCAAAAAGACCAAAAGAAAAAAAAAAACTGTAACTTTTGCCGGGCATGGTGGCACTCGTCTGTAGTCCCAGCACTTAGGAGGCAGAGGCAAGTGGATTTCTTTGGTCTACATAGTGAGTTCCAGGCAAGCTGGGGCTACAAGGAGACCCTGTTTCAAAAAGACCCGCCCCCCCAAAGTAACTTTTATATGTAGATCCTCCCTCACTAATGATGGCCAATGCATCAAGAAGAATCTGAAATTCAACTACCTCAGATTGCAAGGTAAACTGCATTAACACCTTAATGTAGTTAGACCCTTTCATGTAGAAGACAGGTTAGTGAAGTTAAAGCAATTTAGATCTGTCCCCCAACCAAACTAAAATTGGTAGAAGTCAAATTACAGGACTTCAATCCTTGCACCAGACACTATCAGATTACTGCATTTCAAGCTGGTGGTCAAGAGAAAACAAACATAGTTTCTCTACCTAATTTCTTTTGGAAACAAGCAGTTCTAGTGAGTTTTAAATGACATAAGAGCAGGCCAAAGAGCTACCATTTAAAAACACACAGTGATCTAGTATTTATGGAATAAGAAGCTCAAAAATTTCAATCTTCCCGGCAAATCTAGCTTACAGGTAAAAACTTCAAAAGTCATAAACCTACAATTTGCAAGGTAAAGAACAAAGGTAAAAGTTAAGTTAAAAAGAAAATATTTAAGTGTGAAGATTAAGAACCAGTAAGCAGCGAAATATTAAAAGATAGTATCTGTAAGTAAATCAAATTGCTGGGAAATTCAGGCAGAAAACTAGCTTTGAACCATGGTTTAATATCTTTTTTCAATAGTCAGCCAGTGACTAACAGATCTAAAATTTGGCAATGACACATATTCAGATGTAGGCTAACATCTTATCAGATACAAACAAATTTGTTCAATTACATAATGCTTCCTTATATGAGGAGCAAAGTTAATTTGATAGAATTCTGTGTATGTCATTTGATGCTCTGCACACGTTCACATTATTAGTACAGGAAGCCCCAAGGATTAAGTGGAAGGCAATCTAATATTTGTAAAAGTTTAGTATTATACTGAGGAAAAACTGACACACTTCTTTTTCTTTACAAATGCCATCTCAGTTCAGTTACCTACAGCTGTAAATAATTATGCCTACAGGCAAGTGTGACTACAAAGTCAGAGCACTGGTTCTGTGATTTTCAACAGTTTGAAAATTTCGTCCCCACTGGTAACCACACCTCTATGACACATGACTGTCCAATTTTACAACAGATATAGGAAGTGTTAATAGGGAAAATTTCTACTTCTAGTAGGAATAGTATACTAACAATCCATTAAGCCTTAAGCATGTTTTTGTGTAATACATTTAAGAATGAAAAAGAGGAAAGGGAGACTTTGTTGAATTTTACTGCACTTCCTTATTTCTGAGAATTAAAATTTAACATTAAGATAAATGAGTATAACTTGTAAAGGCTCTCTGGAGGAGCCCTGAGTGTAGAGGGTTCAATAACTTGAGTGTGCCATTAACACTGTCTATGCTTTCAACCTTGGCTGGGTAGTACTGTCAGAAACACTTCATAACAAAACTGATTTTGTGCTAATCTTAAATTGGCTCAACTGCTCAAACTCCAAGGACACCTTTATGTGTGAAAACCCAGTATATTTTCAAAAATGCTTGGGAACAGAAAGGAATATGTTATTTCACAGAAAAGAAACATTCAAGGACTGATAAACAATGGAATTAAAAACTGAAGAGCAGGATTTAGCTCATTGGTAGTGTACATGCTAGCATGTGTGAGGCCAGAGGTTTAATTCCCAGTACTGCAAAATATACCCAAACAAAAACAAACAAACAAAAAACTCCCTCAAGAGCAACATAGCAATAGTCTGATTCAGGCATATAAATTCAAGTAAGTTGCTCAATCTTAACTCTGCATTAAAGAGTCACTTGCCTTCTCTGGTAGCATGATTAGCTAAGTAAATCTTTAAAGATATTATAATAGTATACCACTACGACACAGAGTAAACTTTTATTTCGGGTAACCATTTCAAATATATTCCAGGCAGGGCACAGTGGCGCAAGTTTTTAACGCCAACACTCAGGAGGCAGAGGCAGGTAGATTTCTATGAGATTGAGGTCAGCCTGTTCTACATAGCAAGTTCCAGGCCAGCTGGGGAGACCCTGTCTTAAAAAAAAAAAAAATCAAATATGGGCATTTTAAATCAAAGCAAAATATCTTCCATATGATATGTTTTTGTGTAGATAATGTACCTTCTGTTTTTTAAAAAAAAAATGTACTGGCCAGGTGTGGTGGCACAAGCCTTTAATCCCAGCACTTGAGAGGCAGAGGCAGGCAGATCTTTGTGAGTTCAAGGCCAGCCTGGTCTACATAGTGAGTTCCAGGACAGCTGGGGCTAGAGGGAGACCCTGTCTCAAAAAGACAAAAAAAAAAAAGACAAGATGGCTCAGTGGGAAAGGTACATGCCACTGAGACTGACCATCTGTGTTCAAACCCCAAGACCCACATAGTGGAAGAAGAGAACCAACTCTCACTTCTGTTGTCTTTGTGCTGCAACACTTCACTGCCCCATCCCCAATAAATAAATGTAACAAAATAAATGAAAATGGCTATAAGCTGCTATTATTTTAAGTCATTACATAAATTAGCACCCCCCCAGTATTCATTAATGAAAGATGTTTCCAGGTTGCAACAATACTCTGTGCATATGAACAATTAATTCATTCTCTAAATATGAAAACAATGAAGAAACAATATTTAATTGCACAAAATATGTATGCATGAGGCATAATGCTAGTAGCTTTCCATGTTCTATTTGTAGGCCTCACAACACCATAAATTAAGCAACATCCTCCCCACTTTAGGGATGAGGAAACTTAACTGAGCCTCACAAAGGGATCCTGCAATCAGAAAGAGAATGCAGTATCCTGTATTTTCATCATCCCTTCCTGCATAAAGCCATGAGATCTAAAAATATTATTTGTATAAATTATCAAGTAATGAACAAGTGTTGGGAAATATTCTGGGCAAGGTATGCTATGGGGACTTCAGGGAGGAACTGAGCAGACTCATCTTCCCAAGATATGTACTACATATTTTTATATTAACAGATGAATGGATTTCTTCTTGGTCCTGAAGGTATGGATCTATTTTACTTCTGTTATCTACTCATATTAGTTAAGGAATATGGAATATTTCTAAGGTACTATTATACTTCTCCTACCCTGAAGAATCTAACAGTGAAAGCTCAGATCATTTTTTAGGAATCCTAGTAACTAGTAAATCTCAGAAATGGGCTTGCCTGCAGTGATGACTACTATAGATTATAGAGTCCATTAAATTCATATTCTCTAAGCCCAAAAAACATAGTACTTGAAAAGATGGGCATATAATCAAACCCCGATGAGCTTATAAGAAAATTCCTTAAAAACATATCAAAGATGCCAAATTAAAAGACTGATGCTTGTTCAACTACTCTACTCAAACTGGTAGCCTGCATAAACCTTCCTGACTCAAATACTACAAAAAGGTGGATGACTGGCTCACCTTTTAACAACTGTTTTATGACTCAAATGCTTTTGTAATCAATGACATTTAAGACAAGAGGGTTTCCTCAAAGTTATTTAGGCTAACTATAGCCTTAAGGGTGTGTGTGTGCATACTTTTTTCATGCTGGAAATATTCTTTTCTTTTTCAGAGGGGTAATTTACTGTTCAGTAAGCCTATTTTGGAAGGTATCTTTTCACATTTTACTATTTTAGTAAACTTGCTACCCCAGGCCCCAATACACAAGGGAAACAGCCAGACACAATTTGTTTCTCTATGAAAGCAAGTTCAGAAAACAGTGGCACTCTCTAGCACCTTATAACCACAAATAAGTAAATAAATAAATAGATAAATAAATAAGACAAGAAAAAGAAAAAAACTTCTTAACACATATGGATTGGAGGGGGGCATCATAACGCCTGTGTTGGCATCTCCACAGACAGGGGCTCTGACAGTCATTCAACTTTCTTGCTAATTTCCCCATTGTGCTTTTTTGGATCACATAGGCATGGTGCGTTATGTCCTTTTTGGTGTGTGTGACAATTCCTTTCTCCGGGCGAGGCCAGCCGGCCTAGGCTACCCGGCCACCCAGGCTGCCCGCGCAGGGCCTGGGAGAGCGACTCCGGACCAGCAGCTCCGCGCTCGGCCCCCCACTCCACCGGGCCTGGCTGCAGTGTCTTTTCCCTGGTCCTCCCGGGGTCCACGGGGCTCGTAAGAGCATCAGCTGCAGCAGGGAGGCTCCGGGAACCTGTCCCCAGCTCCTCCGCTAGGCCTCGAGGTGTCGGAACTGCACATGGCCCCCGGCTAGGCGGCGGGCACCGCGCGGTGGAGGCAGTAGCCGGGCTTGCCTCAGAACCCCACGGCCCCAGGTCGGCGGGCGGGGAGCGACGCCGTGTCCTCAGCGCTTCGCTCCCCCGCTTCCTCCCTCTCCCGCTCCGTTAGCGCTACCGGTCGGCGGGCGGGGGAGGGGAGCGAGCGCGTTATTCCCGGGGCGCCGCGGGGGAGGGGACAGCATCGCTTACCCACGTTACTGAGGAGCAGGAGGATGCAGCGGGAGCGCGGCGCGGCGGAGCGACGGCGGGGCCGGCTGGGTGCAAGGAAGAGTCTCACGGAAAGGAATTAACCCCATCACCAGCCCGGACACCGGCTCCAGCGGCAGCCGCGGCGGCAGGATCCCGCCCCTTCCCACCACGCACTGGCCCCGCCTCTCCGTTCGCGTAGACCAGCAGCTGGCTTTTTCATAGGCTAGACAGACATTGAGTGCCATAAAGTTTGTCCAATAATTGTTGAAAAGACCCCTTTTGCTCCACCTCGTTATCGCCGCCCGGACCGCGGGAGAGCTGGGCCAAGTCAATCTCCTCCCTCAAAAGAGAAAGAACCAATCCGTGGTAAGTGATAGCCCTTGAAGGACGCGAAAGCCAACCAATGAGGAAATAAGGAGGACAGCCATTTTACCCACTTGTAAAAAAGCCACCTTTTCCCACGAGTTGGAGCCTGAGGTGGGCGAGTTCTGGGAGTTTTCACTCACTGGAGATATGGAATAAAACTGTATTTGTTCAGATAATATTTCTAGTGCTTTCTAGGGATAAAAGGAGAATTCTTCCTCCATGTGGGGAGATGTGAGGAAGGCTTTTAAGGATATGGCTCCTCCCCTTAGCGGTACCGGGTTCTTTAGCTGAACACCTGGTTTCTCCAGCCTTAGTGGTGACAGGAAGGGGGCTGAGCGCTCCGGCTTGAGGGGACTACAGTTCCCAAGATTCTTTGCGACTACCTAAACCCGTTTCCTCTGTTTGCTTCCTGTAATGTCACATGGGAATTGTAGTTTTTGAGAGGTTACCCTTGCACCCTCCGTGTTCGAATGAGTAGGGGGAAAGTTTTGAATTAGTTGGAGTTGGGAATGAGGTCTCAAAGCTGTAGTGAGATCTTTTCGCTACCCTTAAGGAGGAGATAAGAGAAGAATGGTCAGGAGTTTTCTCAGAACATCCCCAGGATTTTAGATTGCTGGTATTTGAACTCTTCTGCTTTCAGGTCGTCCCTTTGAACGTCATTTCCGTTTAGGAGAGACACTTGCAAAAAATCTGTGGCGGGAGTTGGAGATTCCCCAGCGAGTTGACCAGGTTTGTCCGTCTGGGAGTGTGGTGTAGGGCAAGAGATAGGAAGTTGAATTTAATTGCAGCTTAAGGAAAGAGGTGAGAGTTGTGCGTGATGGCTCATGCCTATAACACCAGCACTCTAGAAGCCGAGGCAGGAGAATCATTGCTAGTTCACAACCTGAGCTACAGCTTTAGTTCTAGACCAGCTGGGGCTCTAGAGTTGTTCTGTCTCTAAAAAAAACAAAAACAAAGGGAGCAGCAGAAAGAGGGTGAGAGGGTGAAATGTGAAATGACACGAATGTAAGTCCCCAAGCCCTTAAGGAAATTTTCCAACCCTGGTTTTAAATCCTATAAACCCCGTGTTTATGGTCTCCAGGTCCGCTCACTAGCAGGTTGCACCTCTTCGAGTTTGTAGAGTATGCTTCTAACTTGCCTGTAGCCTCTGTACATGGAGTAACATGGGTTCATGTCCACAGTTTTGACTGGAAGAAGTTTGGAAGTCCTGAGCTTACTCCTCTCATTTATACAAACACCCTCCCAAAGTTGAAGGAAGAAAGTTAGGCATGGGTTCAGGATTAATATAATCATTAGTTGCCCTGTTAAAAGTGGTGCAGCCACCAAATTAAGTGGCGACCCGGTGACAACTGTATACTTCGATGATTAAAGGCATCATCCAAAAGGCTTCGGAACCCAAAACCTAGTAAACAGCAAATGAGGCTCTGATTTAATCTCTATGAGGATGCCAGGTTGACTGTAAAGTAGATACAGCAGTTATGAGAAAAGTCCCACCCCAAGCCTGATGCTCCTCAAAGTCTCTATTCCAACATTCTTACTGAGACTTTCTCTTACAAACCATCTTGTAAATATTTATTGAGCATGTATCCTAGCATACCACACTTATGGGCGTATACCAGACTTCAGGTTGGAGCAGTGCACAAAAAGATAGGTTGCTTGTTTAGAAGGAGTGAGGAAGACAAAGGCTAAACAAAATTAGTGTTGCTTGTTCTTTTAATCTCTCCCTAAATTCAAATCATCATAGTCATGTTTTGAATTGTTATTTGGTTTCCTTTTGCCTTTCTACCTCTATATTAAAATAAGTATGTTTTTCTGTTTCCATTATTTTTATTGAAGTATTGGTAAGTCTGTGTCCAATGTTCTTGAAAGGTGTTTATGCACCTAGTAGATGAAAGAGGTACTAATATACAGAAGCATGCCTATAATGTTCAGCCAGCCTGTTGTGCAGATCTGCAAGGAAAAGCAGTCTTGGTTTGTTGTATTCATTCATTCATTCATACATTCATTCATTCATACATTCATTCATTTTGTTTGAGACAGGGTCTCCCTGTATGCCTCAGATGGCATGTAAATCACTACGTAGATCATGCTAGCCTGGATCTCACAGTAATCCACCTGCCCATGCCACCCTACGGCTGAGATTAAAGGTAAGGACCACCATGCCTGGCCTTGTTTCTTTGTTTTAAAAAAAAAATAAATTGTTGCTTTTTAATGCAGTGATTTTTTTTTTTGATTTTTGGTGATGAGAATTAAACCCATCTAAGAAGCAGGCACACCACTAAACTGCATCATCCCCAGCCTGTAATTATAATTCCCAATCATAATTTAGCATATAATCTATAAATGCTTAGTTTAGGGTTTTTTGTTGTTGTTGTTGTTGTTTTTTATCATAAGCTCTTCTAGTGTAAGTCAAGTCAATAGATAGTAATAATGATTATCATTTAATTATTTCAACTAAGCCAAAATGGTGTTGTGTTTAGTATATTTTCCTTGCCATGTCTGCTGTTTATTTTTCCTCTTGCTGGATATCACATGCTAAGCATGTACTGTACCACTGAACTACTTCCCCAGCTTCATTACTGCTTTACACTTGAAGAAATTGGGGTTCAGAGTGAAGTAAAAATTTAAGGTCTGAGGCCGGGCGTGGTGGCGCATGCCTTTAATCCCAGCACTTGGGAGACAGAGGCAGGCAGATCTTTGTGAGTTCAAGGCCAGCCTGGTCTATGTAGTGAGTTCCAGGACAGCTGGAGCTGCAGGGAGACCCTGTCTCAAAAAGGCCAACAAGTCACATAAAAAGGAAAAAAAATTAAGGTCTGAACCCCCTAATCAAAACAGTTTGGAGCTGAGGTCTGCTTGTTTTCTGTACTCTAAACCATTGCTTAGCTTCCCTCTTAAATGTTTGTGAATCTCTATGTATGAAGAGGGCACTTACTGACAAACTCTTCCATCTCAAAATTCTAGAAACAAGCCAGGAGTGGTGGTGCACGCCTTTAATCACAGCACTGGGGAGGCAGAGGCAGGCAGATCTCTGTGAGTGCAAGTCCAGCCTGGTCTACATAGTGAGTTCCAGGACAGCTGGGGCTACAGGGAGACCCTGTCTCAAAAAGACCGAAAAAAAAAAAAAAATTCTAGAACCAATCACTGGTGGCAGACGCTTCCTCTTTTAAGCCATTCTTTGTCATGTACATAATACATTGCTCAATGTAATTGTAAGTATAGGCAACCGTAGAAGAAATAAAGCTAATCTACCATCCTATTATCCAGAGGTTTTGACCATGTACAAGATCTCTCTCTTCACGTGTAGAGAAAGTTATGAAAGTTATTTTTGTTGTTTTGCTTTTTGTTGTTTGTTTTGGTTTTTGGGTTTTTTGGGTTGTTTTTTTTTTTTTTTGCTTTTTTTGTGTGTGTTTGTTTTGTTTTATTTTGTTTTGATTTTGGTCTTTTGGAGACAGGTTTTTCCTGTAGCTACACCTGGTCTGGAACTTACTAATAGACCAGGCTGGCCTTGACCTCACAGAGATCTGCCTGTTTCTGCCTCCCAACTGCTGGGATTAAAAGCATATGCCACCACACCCAGCTCTGGTTTTAATTTTGTTTTTGTTTTTGAGGTAGGATCTCACTATAAAGGCTGGCCTGGCACTCAGAGATCTGCCTCTATGTGGGTGCTGGGAACCAAAACAGGGTCCCCCTGAGCCATCTCTCCAGTCCCTCTTTTAACACTGAAAAAAAAAAAAAAAAAACTCCAACATCCAAATAGACTTCCTGTCCCCAATAACTCATTTTTTTTTTTTTTTGTCTTATTGAGACAGGGTCTCCCTGTACCTCCAGTTGCCCTGGAACTTGCTATATAGACCAGGCTGACCTTGAAACCACAGAGATCTGCCTGTCTCTACCTCCCAAGTGCTGGGACTAATGACGTGTGCTATCATGCCTGGCTTCAAGAATTTCATACAATGTTTTTTTGTGTGTGGTTTTATTTTATTTTATTTTATTTTATTTTATATTTTATTTATCTTATTTTCTAATTTAATTTAATTTTACTTTATTTTTGAGACAGGGTTTCCCTGGAGCCCCAACTGGCCTGGAACTCAGTGTAGGCCAGGCTGACCTCAATCTCATAGAGATCCACCTGCCTCTGCCTCTGCCTCCTGAGTGCTGGGACTAAAGGTGTGAGCTACCACACCCGGCACATACAATACATTTTGATCCCACTCAGATCCCCTCTCTTTTTTAGCTTAATTTTTCTTTAACTTAAATTTTTTAAAATTTATTTTTATTTTATTTCATGCCTTGCCGCCATGTATGTTAGTACACTATGAATGTGCAATGCCTGTGAGGCCAGAAGAGGGTGTAGGATCCACTTGAACTGAAGTTAACTCTGTGCTGGGAACTGAGTCTGGATCCTATGCAAGAGCTGACCTTGAAGCTGACCTTGAACTCCTGTGCTGTTAACCATTGTACCATCTCTCTAGTTCTCCTCTTTTAACTTTTTTTTTTTTTTTTTTTTTTTTTTTTTTTTTTTTAAAAAAAAAAAAAAAAAAAAGAGGACGATAAATCTTTCACTGTGATATATCAAAATAA